CCGGAGGCCCCAGGGGCCCTGCCTGCTGACAGCTGCGGACCTGCTCTGCGGCTCCGGGGAAGATGTCTCCCCCCGGGTGCACGCATGCTGGATCCCGCACCCAGGTGCCCCTGCCTTCGAGTCTGGCGTGGAGGTCGCCCTGACGGGGCCCACAGCTCAGCTCCACACCTCTTCGGCTCAGTCTTTTGGCTTCCATGGCACTGACCATGGCCCCGAATGCCAACCACCAACCCTGCTGCCCTTTAGGAGGGAGCTGCGCGCTTTACCGAGCCGGGCACCGACGGAGAAGGAAGTGACAAGATGGCGGTGGTCTTGCCGAGCCTCAGGGCACAGGAGGAGGCCGGGAGAGGAGCGAAAGGGACTGAGAAATGGAGGCAGAAAGACAAGTTTCTCCGGAGGTCCTGGGCCACGGACGGACGGAAGGGTTAGGAGGGCAGGGCTGTAGCCGCGGAGAGGAGTGGCCTGGGCCAGCTTGCAAACTAAGCAGCCGAAGGCTGACACCCCGGGGAACAGCTCAGCAACCACAGCAACTCCTTTTTTGAATTTCACACTTGAAGTCAACTTTGAGAAATAGGCACGAAGGCCGGGGATTTAGCTCAGTGGTTCTGCCACCTGCATTGCAGGTGCAAGGACCGGAGTTAGATCCCTAGTACGACCCCCCGCCAAGGCCCTAGAGACCAGGTTTTCTGCTGGAGGCGCCAGCTTTAAAGGGAGAACAAGCCACTGGTCAGCCCTAGTGGCCTGCGGGCAGGGTGCAACTCTTGTCACCTGGTCAGTGTTTCAGGCAGCAGCTGCCACACCCCCAGGGGCAGCCTCTCATCCCCAGGGAACCACAGCCCCACAGATGTGGCCATGCACCCAGGAGGGCTGCAGAGGGGCAAGTTGAAAGGCCCAGGGACAGGAAGCTGGTGACCCAGGCCTCAAGTTGCAGTCCCCACCAGCTCCTGCACGTTTTTCTCTGGGCAGCAAGACGACAGTCACTGGTGTGGAGGACAGAGCTAGCTGGAAATACGCATTCTGACGCCTAAAAAACCATGGCCGAGCAGCCAGGCTGTTAGCGCCTGCTGCCTCAGGGTCTGAGGGGAGGCATGGAGAACACACCAGGAAAGCTTTAGCGAAGCCAGGGCGACCCGGCAAGGCAGAGAAGGCAAATCCTGGCTGGAGCTTACTACGGGCCAGGCACGTGAGCAGAAGGTGCTGCAGTGCGACGGAGAGGATGGATGTGGGCTTCCCACCAAAACCAGTGAAGACGGCGACAGCCGCTTGACTCCAGGGAAAATTCAGGCTGACTTCCATTGGCTCGTGTCAGGGACCTCACATCTGTGCCACCCCGCGTGGGCCCAGGAGTTGGAGGTGACCATTTCAACAGGGCTGTCTGAGAGCCAGCAGGGAAGGGATGTGCAGATGACAAATGACCAGATGGCCTCGGGGCCCACGGGCACTGCTAAGACTCATTATGAGCAATGCCCATTTCCTGGAGCTTAGGTTAAAAGGAAACAAAACACAAAAAACCCTGTAACACATTTTGTTTGTATTTCTGGTCTTCTCTCTTCTATATCATATATGTGGCTGTTTTCTAACCAAATTCCCTTCACATTTCTTTTGAAATTGAGCCATTATGGGTTATGGGCATCCCTGTACCCAGGGTCCTCCTGGCTTCCCTAGGGGTGAGAAGTAGAAGCAGCCAGGCATCAGGGAACCACCTCCCTCCCCATTCCCAGACTGGGGCAGGAGGGACTCAGTCCTGTCCTTTGGGCAGAACCACCCTGGGTCGGTTCAGCCCAAGTGGAGGGAGGAAATCAAGGTCTGGTCAGAGGCGGTCAGCAGCATGTCACAGACCCAGCTGCCCAGTGTGGAAATCCTTTTGCTCACGGGCATGGTGGCTAAAAAACCCTTGAGTCTCACACTGACATCTAAAGTGAGGCAGCAGACCGCTTTTCAGACTTTGCTTGGGTGAATTCTGATTTCAGCTTCACTCTCTGTTGCAACTTGAAAATCCTCAAGTAATCTGGGCTGCAACTGGGCTGCGATCCCTCCTCGGATTCTAGCTCAGGCGTCCCTTGGGCACACCAGGCCCACTGCTCTTGCCTGAGCCCAGTTCCCAGCTACACAGTGACCAGGCCGGGCCTGGTCCATCACTGCCTTCCCAGCTACCTGTGGGAGTGCAAGCTGGGTCAGCAAAGCCCCACCTGGCCTCCTCCCGACCTCAGGCTCCCGGAGGTGCAGCTGTGCTGTTCCTCCTCCCCGAGGCAGGGATGGGCCGCGCTTCCCCTCACTGCTCCTGGTGGGGTTCGGCTGAGGGAAGCAGCCCCTTCCACAGGGGCGTCATGCAGTCCCTCAGGCGTGATTCTTCCCAAGGCCCAGTGTGCACAGCACAGTTCTGAAACACTTACCTATTTAGAACTAAGAGGCCACAGCACAGCAGATTCGCTCTTCCGGCAGGTGGGAGGTACCATGTGAAAGTGCCTGTAGGCTGCAGTAAACTGTAGGCAGCGAAGGTTTTGGTGGCTTCCGCTCATCTCACTTCCCCAGGAATTTCTTAGGGGCCCGCGGCCTACACCCTGCTCATGTTCTACCTTCACCCCGTAATGTCAGATCATGGTGAACAGATGTGGGCACAGCCAGGGTCTCTTTCCAGGGGGATGGCTCTCTGGCCAAATCTTCACATCAGATGTTCTTATGCAGGACATGTGTCCGCAGTACAGCCTGCTTTCTGGCTGAAAGGATTATAACAAAACAGCCAAGCTTATACTCACAGGCAACGTGGGCTTTCATCCGTGGCCAGGGTGAGGACTTTCATGCAAGTGTGTGTGTGTGTGTGTGTGTGTGTGTGTGTGTGTGTGTGTGTGATCTTCCA